ATGCTTTCGACCAATGTTTAGTGCGCATCAGGCACTGGGCCTCCAGGATGGGGAAGACAAGGTCCGCTCTCCCTGGCTAGGGAGCTGCGGCAAGAGAATGCCCCAAGATGCACAGAATGTAATATCAGGTGGTTACGAGGGTGCGAGGGAAAATAAAGCAGGCGAGGAATGTGCTGCTGGTCAAGTGACAACCTAAAGGAGGCCGTGGGCAGGCCTTGCGGAGGAGTGGGGGTGGAGGAGAGACTCCAAGTTAGGGAGAGGGTTCCAGGCGGCAGGAACAGACGGTGCAAGGCTGGAGCGTACCAGCCTGGTGGAGGAGCAGCAAGGAGGCCCAGGAGGTGGAACGGGGTGTGGAGGGGGGAGCGGCTGGCGGTGGGGCGTGCGGGCTGGGCCAGGGTGAGGAGGGCCCCTGGGCCGTTGTGGGGAAATGGCCTTCTCTATCAGTGATCAGGGAGACTGTGGCCAGTCCGGGCATCTGACTTGCATTCCCAAAGGCAGAAGAGCTGGACAGCAAGAGGGCCAGGGTGGGGAGACCTGAGAGATTAGGGACTGGACCAGGAGTGGGAGACAGACCTGGAAAGGGGATGTGGTTTGATCAAGGCCATACAGGGAACCGGGGAAATGGTGGGGCCTCGGCTGCTCAATTAGCCTCTCATGACTAACGCCATGTCTGATTCTGTCAACACTGTGTAGCAGGGACATTTGTTTAATTCACTGATGTATCCCTGGCACGTTAAAATATTACCTCGCACGGGGGCCCTGGGTGGCTCAGTCGGTTGAGCATCCAACTCTTGATTTAGGTTTAGGTCATGACCTCATGGTTCGTGGGATCGAGCCCTGTGTTGGGCTCCATGCTGAACATGGACTTTGCTTAGGATCCTCTGTCTCTCTCTCTCTCTCTTTCTCCGTCTGCCTCTCTCCTCCACTTGCATTCCCTCTCACTCTAGAAAGAAAGAGAGAGAGGGAGAAAGAGGGAGAGGGAGAGGGGGAAAGGGAGGGAGAAGGAAGGAAGGAAGGAAGGAAGGAAGGAAGGA